TTTGTTTGTCATGTTTTGATGCATTACACTTTCTAAAGGTGGAACGATTAATAGAAAGGTATTATAATGTATTATAATTGTGGTTTCAATTATTCATGAGATCATACAATGCATTATAAGGTGTATTATAAGGCATAATTAATGCATTAAAAACAGTGGTGGGCAAAGTACACAAATTAAGTACTTGAGTAAAAGTATAGATCCGTATGATAAACTCCAGATTACTCCAGTAAAAGTACTCAGTTTTCAATTTTACGCGAGTGAAAGTACAAAAGTACTTGATTTTTTTATGTACTTAAGTAAAAAGTACCGATAGATGAATGTTTATTTTGCAGTTTTATATAGGCTACTTTTATCATTTTATCAATTTTATAATTTTATGTTAGCATATATTGTTTTATAATGGTACTGCTCAAAATACCTGGGATTTTCCCAAAATAACCAATAAGGAAATAATGAATATAATAAGGACTTAATAACAATATAAAAACAGGCGTAGCATTTTAGTAAAACTGCTAACGTTACAGCAGCGGGGAAGATGAACGTGCATGAGTTATTTTATTTAATCTGTGTTATTTTAATGTTTTTTTTACCTAAAACATAGAGACTCTGATGTTGATGTGTCTGCATTCAAGCATTTCAGTGGGCTTAAACAGATCACCCTTACAGGAGATTTAGTTCACAAACAACTGACAGCTTTGACCTAAATATGATTTTCAGTTACAATAATTCATCCTAAAATTCGACATTAGTAACTTTTAGCAGCATCAGACGTGCGCGCGCTCACAAGATCTCCGGATTCTTACTTGTGAGTTCAGTTCACTGGAGACTCGCACTAAACGGATCATTTGAATCAGTGAGTTGTCGACTCGAGAACAGCTACAATCGGATCATTCCAATTCGTGAACGAATCGTTTGGTGCGATTTGCGAACCGCTTCTGCGTCTCGGAGCACGTGATATATTATAAGGAGTAACGATACGTTTTATGAAATGTAGTGAAGTAAAAAGTACGATCTTATGCTTTGGAATGTAGTGAAGTAAAAGTAAAAGTTACTCAAAATAAAGTACAGATACTTGTAAAATAGTACAAAGTAAAACTACTCCGTTACTGTCCACCACTGATTAAAACTACTTTTATAATACATTATGCTTTACTGATCCTGTAAAAAGAAAATGCAAGCAAATTTTCTTCTTAATCTCAACAGAGTATAAAAAAAACATTTGAGAGACTCACTGTTTTAGCATTTCCCAACGATCTCATATTTCCCTTCCATGTGTAAAATACTGACGACAAACGGATCATTTGAATCAGTGAGTTGTCGACTCGAGAACAGCTACAATCAGATCATTCCAATTCGTGAACGAATCGTTTGGTGCGATTTGCGAACCGTCTCGGAGCACGTGATATATTATAAGGAGTAACGATACGTTTTATGAAATGTAGTGAAGTAAAAAGTACGATCTTATGCTTTGGAATGTAGTGAAGTAAAAGTAAAAGTTACTCAAAATAAAGTACAGATACTTGTAAAATAGTACAAAGTAAAACTACTCCGTTACTGTCCACCACTGATTAAAACTACTTTTATAATACATTATGCTTTACTGATCCTGTAAAAAGAAAATGCAAGCAAATTTTCTTCTTAATCTCAACAGAGTATAAAAAAAACATTTGAGAGACTCACTGTTTTAGCATTTCCCAACGATCTCATATTTCCCTTCCATGTGTAAAATACTGACGACATTTGAAGAGCTTTCTTTATCTGTCCGATATTTACAATCAGAAGCTCACTGGCCTGCTTCCCTGCTGAAGGTTCAGCTCTCACAAGATGAAGACCCTGAAGAAACAGTGATAAAGTAGTTTGGGTTTGTCCTCTGATCGCTCACTAATGTCTTCAGTCTGATACGAGACTCCAGCAGAAATCAACCCCACTTCACAGAAGAGCGACGCGCGGCAGATGTATGAAAGATATATAGGATATGTGCACTGATTTGACTAGCCATAACAGGTACTTATACAGTAAGGTGTTACAGTATCTGTGTCGACTGCTTTTCTGCGCCTGTGACTCAACAAAATGAATTACAGCATCCACTCAACCAATCAGAGACGATCCTGCGACTTCCTATTTGTTCTTTTCATGTCAAGTTAGCTGTATTTCTGTAGCGCTTTAGATTGTTTCAAAGCAGCTTCACAGTAATAAACAGGATCCGTGATGCAAACATCATCAAATATGAGGCTCTAAAAAGGCAGTGGCATCATTATTCGGGTCAGTGTTGATTCAGTTCAGTTCAACAACTGTGTAAAGCTCTTCCATTCTGTTTTCAAATTATATTGTTCTTTTCCCTTATTAATTTATGCATGATATGAACTTTTTTATTGGACTGTTTTATTTATATATTTATACATTCAAATGCAATACAAATGTAAAATATTTCCAATAAAGCACTGAAACTGCTTATGTTTTATTATGCATTCAATTCTTCCTTTATATTGTCTGACATGACTGGATTCCAAAGTTTAAAACCCAACGTTGCACTTTTAGTTTCTAATGTAACATAAAAGCTTTCCTGACTAACTTTCTTGCACTGAAGCAGCGGACTGCACACAGACGCTGTGATTCTGTCCTGTTTGGTTTTGGCACAATCCACAGACTTATTCTCAGCTCATTCAGCAAATATAACGGCTGCGATCTCACCTGAACACACACACACACACGCAGGTGACCCAGACACGGAGCAGAGCAGTGTATTACAGACAAAAATCTGATTCAGTGATCGTTTGCTCCCCTCATGCTGCTCCAAACATGAACGTTGAGTTTTCTTTCTCAGGGACTGTGATGCTCCAAAATACAATCTATTACACAAATCATATGAACTACTTTTTAAGACTTCTACAGTGTTTTTCATCCTTTTTTTGGAGCTCGACGGCTCCTTGCTCGAATTTTTTTGCTGCTTATTGAATTTACTTCATTAAGACGAGGTAAAGCAACACATGGTTTTAGTTAAAGGCGTCATATGATGCCCATTTTTCCACAAGTTGATATGATTCTTTAGTTTTAACACAGTTTGGTTCAAATTTCTCAGTGGTAGTGTAAAAAACACCTTTACCCTGTCAAAAACAGCTCTTTTCAGATCAAGGAATGGCAGAGGATCCCCAAATCCAGGTGTGAAAAACTTGTTGCATCTTTCCCAAAAAGACTCATGGCTGTATTAGATCAAAAGGGTGCTTCTACTAAATACTGAGCAAAGGGTCTGAATACTTAGGACCATGTGATATTTCAGTTTTTCTTTTTTAATAAATCTGCAAAAATGTCAACAATTCTGTGTTTTTCTGTCAATATGGGGTGCTGTGTGTACATTAATGAGGAAAAAAATGAACTTAAATGATTTTAGCAAATGGCTGCAATATAACAAAGAGTGAAAAATGTAAGGGGGTCTTAATACTTTCTGTACCCACTGTATATATATACAAAATATTAATAAATTTAAAATATTAATACAAACTAAAATAGTATCTCTTCAGCAACACAATTCTTGAACATTTTGTAAACTTAATTTCAATCCACTTTTTTGTTTCCAGAATGTTGATCTGGAGAGTAAATGTTGAAATGAAGTGTAGTTTTCTGTGTTTGTGAATAAAAGGAAAGAGCTGTTAGAGTTTAATGTTCAGTTCTGCTGGGTTTTCAGAAGAGTTTCTGTTCTTTTGGAGGTTTTGTGGGTCTTACTGTGCTTATTGTTGAGAACGGACGCATGTGGAGCTTTATTCGATAAAAAAGTTTGATCGTTTTTGCATTATTTTTTCATTAAACTTTCATTGCATCAACTTTATTGTATCAAAAAGAGCAGCATGAACATTCTGAAATCGTTTATGTTCCACGGAAGGATCAGCATGTCTGTTTTTCTCTGAACGTGATAATTGCCCAAGAGATTTAACATTTCCATCCATTTAGAGAAACTAACAAACTTAATGTGATGCATATTTGTCAATCATACAAAAATGAAACAGGTAAGAAATAGGTAAGATTTCTTTAATAGTACGAATAAACTGAATGCATTTCTATATTCATCAATAAATCCAATCTGTTTCAGTCTCATACTTTAACCAGATTCATACGTTTTAACTAAATAAATGTCATTTTTACAATGACCAGATTTCTAAGCAATCTGAATAAATGCATTTTGAAAATTTGATTATATAAACAAAATCAAATAAATGATAAACCATGCCATGATTTTTTTTTTTTTTCATTTACGTATGATTGATAAATATGCATCACATTAATTTATTAGTTTGTTTAAAACTGTGTAAACCAAATGGATGGATTTTATATGCAATTCAAATATATAAAACTTAGATTTAGGCCTAAATATTTTTTGAAGGTAGTGACTTAAACTTAAAACAAACTTTATTTAGTTTAACTTGATGTACTAAAATAACTAAAACTACATAAATCTAAAATAAAAATGCATAAAAACTACTACGTAAAAAAAAACGTGCAATAAAATTAATAAAACTTCATTTATTTTACTAAAATTAAAGTCAAACAGAAAATATAAAAATAAAAACTAATTCAAAATATGAACAAAAACCATTTCCTGTGAAATGTATTTATGTGAAATTTTATTAATTAAATCTTAAATTCGAATTATATTTCGAATAAATGTAGTTTCACACCAAATATTTACATCTTTTACACATTTGCACATATGTTATGATGTTTAATCGTCTCTTCGCATTGAAATCGTGTGATGTCTGCTGTTCAAATCCAAAAAGCAAATCAGATTTGTGAACACAGCTGAAGAAAATGACACAAGCTCCTTTACATTTAAAAAAAGGAGTCTGATATTATTTGCCTCATCTTGCTCAAATGTCAGACGCTGCCCTCAAAAACCTCATTAATGAACATGAAGGAATCAGACAGAACCGACAGCCAATCAGCTGCCAGCAGCACCAGAGCTGTGCTGATTATGAGTTCAGGAGAAAGAATAACGTGTCTCTCACCCCGGGTAGAGTCTTTTGTTCGTGGAGAGCGCTCTGGGCCTTCAGCGCTGACTCTCTGGCACAGTACGTTAGAAAGGCACATCCTGAAACACACACACACACACACACAGGTCAGCCCACTCAACACTGCAGGAACTACTAAACGATCAGATGAGATTCATGCATGCAAAAAAATCTAAAAATCTAGTTTCTTTTAAAGCATGTTTAGATTTTTGTTAGTTTGACCTTACCAGGCTACAGATGTCTAATCACAAAAAGACATAAAGAAAAAAAAAATCATGCAGAGAGACACATCTGACCATTATGCAAATGATAGCAATATTCAAAATCATATTAATTGTCATTTTGTCAATTTCAATGCCAATTTACTTACAAAGCACAATTTAAAACAACAAAAGTTGACCAAAGTGAGGTACAAGAATAAAATAAAATAAAATAAAATAAAATAAAATAAAATAAAATTAAATAAAATTAAATTAAATTAAATTAAATTAAATTAAATGTCTAATTTGAATGGGTAGACTTGTTTCAGGGCTGCAAAGAGACTTTAGAACTAAAGAATTAAAAATCTTACAGTGGTTTTTAATGTCAATTTACTTATAAAGCACAGTTTAAAACAGCAAAAGTTGATCAAAGTGTGGTATAAGAATAATGTATAAATCATAATAAAATGAAATAAAATAAAATAATTTAAATATAGTGTGAATGGGTGGACAGGTTTCAGGGAAGCAAAGAGACATAAAGAATTAAAAATCATGTTATGCAAACAACAATAATATTCAAAATCACATTAATTGCCAATTTGTCCATTTTCAATGTCAATTTACTTATGAAACATTATTTAAATTTACCAAAGTGCAGTATAATACAATATAAACTTATAAAATGAAATAAAATAAAATAAAATGTTTAAAAGTAATACATATTTACGTTTAAAAAATGAAATAAAATAAAATAATAAAATAAAATAAAAAAATGACACATGAAATAAACAAAGATCAAAATAATCTGTATTTTTAAATTAAAAGCCAGAAAGAACAAAAGAGTTGTTAACTTTTAGGATTTAAAATCATACAGTATAAAGTTGAAGCATGTCTAATGTGAATGGTTAGACTGGTTCACAGTTACAGAGCAGCAGAGAGATTTAAAAAAAATTTAAATCAGAGAAACACGTCTGACGGTTATGCAAACAACAGCACTATTCAGAATCATATTAATTGGACAAATAGCAGAACAATCTCCACATATGCATTTCAGACACACTAAAGTAGCACTGCAAATTAATGTGAACATGCTTAAACATCAAAAGTGTGTTTTTGCCCCGTGTGCGGCGGCGGTGACCCTCTGAGAGGCATTTCTGCAGCGGCGGCACAATTTCTCATCACCTCACAGCAGACGTGCTGAAGTGCCTTCTTTAGGGACCACGAACACACACGCGGCACCCATCGGCCAAACCTGCTGCCGGATACACACTGCAGCGCTCCGGGACTTTCACACGGATGCCAAGTGGAGATAATTTACAAAACTTAACAGGCTTTCCTTTACAGCTCAAGTATATTGGTCTCATAAACACATTGAACTACAATTTTCAGTTATTTTGCTATCATAACACATGCATTCACGTTTATGCATCTGACAGTCATTTTTAACCAAAGCAACTTATATCCCTTACGCAAATATATTTTTTTTTTACATCTCGTCATTTACATGTTTGTTTTTTACCATAAAATAAAAATTAAAAAGGTAATTCTCGCAATTCTGACTTTATATATTGCAATTCTGATTTTTTTTTAAAAAGTCAGATGTGTTAGATATAAACATATTATTGCAAGGATGCTTGCAAGGATCTATGTTACTTAAAAAAATATGTTGATTTTTTTTTTTCATTATAAATACCATAAAAGAAGTAAACTAGAAGTCGTGATCATGCACATTAAACTAGGGCTGGGTTATATTTTTTCCATACACACACACACACAGACACACACACACACACACACACACACGCACTTTAAAATGTCTAAATGTCTTTATGTCAGAACAATAGGAGTATTTATTTCAAAGAGATTGCACAAGCTTCATATTTGCTTTGTTTGGTTTGAATTGTTAACCCTAACCCTTGCTTTGAGATTCATGCAATGACATTCAGACATCTTTAGGTATGACTTAACCCAATAAAACCTACTGTATCATATCTCATACAGCCTCTAAATGATCAACATGATCAAAACTTTGCTGTTAAACCTGTCGCACACAATCTACTGCACGCCTTCTGTCGTCTCTGATATTTAGATAATTTTACATCAGTATCTGCTGTACTGTTATAAAGATCTCATTGATTTACATCACAAGCAGCAGATTGTCAATGAAAGTTTGATAAACTGTTCCATTTTTCAGACTATTGTTTCATATGTTCAGGCTTTACAGGGTTAAGTGAAGCCTTTTGAGGTCACTGCTGCTACAGAGAGGTGAATGATGAAAGGAAACATCGCAGCGTCTCAGACCTGAAGATTTGCCCCACAGGCCACTGCAAAACAGCTCAACCGGCACATGGACCGACGCTGAGAGAGGTGTGAAGGGCACGGATGCCAACGGCTGGTCAAACCAAATCAACAACACCCACGAGCACCGATCAGAACGAGCTGCCTGCGGTTTGCCATTTATAGAGCCAAAATGCGTTACCGATGATGCATGTGTTAAGAGAAAAAAAGAAAGGTGTTCCTCCTTGCATAGGAGCATTAAATGATAAACTGCTTCTGATGTGGGTTTGTTTTTTAACTGGAACTAAACTGCTCCTTGTGTCATTGTAAGTGAGGCTGTGCTGCCCTGATGGCCATATGTGTGTCACCATCCCTCCCTGACTCTCCTCCGGCCTATTAATGTAAACTAACAGCTTTATAATGCTACACGTCTGATCCGCTGGGAACCATCAGCACAAAACCTGCACAACAGTAATTACAGCGAGCGAGAGAGAGAGAGAGCAGCTGGAGATGGAGACTTTATGAAGGACTAAATAAGAACCTAATGGAAATATTCTGCCCTTTACACTTGTAGATTATATAATGTCTGAATAATGTTGATGCTTTCTTGCCTTCTAGTAACGAAAGAAGAGGAAAATATGAGTGTGCACACAGAACAAAGTCCCGTTACACAGTGAAAAATGATGTGAATCGAAGAGAATGTGTGCACAATGAAGATGCATTATTTAATAAATACAGACATGCTTTATGTTCTTGATTAACTACAGAATGCATAGCTGAATGCATTCAAAATAAAACCAAAGAACAATGCACTTGCATGCTTCAACGTGTAATTTAGTCAGATTTCTGCCCATTGCAACCATATTTTTAATTTCTTTATTTCCAGTTTTGTGCACGACATGACTCGCCTCTGTTTCACTCTCACATCAGGAGTTTCATTCTGTTTCAATTAGTACAGAGGAAAAATTCAATGCAAGGACGCTTAAACTAAAAAGGCAACCACAGATACATGGCAATGACAAATTAAAATGAACTTCACGAGATTATCGTTCGACTTTCCAGAGTAAAACGCAGCTGATTTGATGTGAGACAACCAGTGCAAAGCAAAAAAGCAATGTGCTGTATATACGCCTGTGATAGAGAAACTCACATCCAAGCATAGGGACGAGCAGAAGAGATGATACAGAAGAAATTTCCCCATGCAAAAGCTCCAGACGTGCTTCGTGAAAATGGCTGAACGCTATTTCATCTGTGTTTGTGTTTGCACTGATGCTGCTCTCATCCACAAACACACAGGCTTCACACTTAAAATAAAGCTTCGTTCATTGCAAAAAATGCTAACCTGTTACCTTAAAGAGCCATTTCTACACGATTTAACCCATTAAAATAGTTTTTTGGGGTATAAATTGATCTACACAGGTTGGTTTAGTGACTTAAATAAAACCATTTTTAGGTTACCATCTGTAGCTTTCTTGGAGTTCTTGATATGTATTAAAGGTTCGTCAGGTTGCAAAAGAGATACTGTAGAAATGTACAGTATTTTTAATAGTGCAAGTTCACCAGCAGCTTTATGGACATGCATGATGCCACTTTAAAGGTTCTTCGCATGGATGTTGAAAAGAGGGCGGATTTGCACGTGCTGATCACACACACACGGGCTCGCAGAAAGCAAAAGAAAGCCAAGTCAGACCTTTATGCATCCCGGTGAACCGGTCCTTGAGCACCGTGAGTTCGTAGATCTTCCCGAACTCCTCGAACAGAGGCTTGAGGTCTTTCTCGTCCAGGTTGCGCGGGATCTGACCGATGAAGAGCTTGATGGCGTCGTGATCTTTCATCGGAATCGCGCTGTTGAGTCCGTTCATTCTACCGGAGCTGTCCGCGGTGCTGAAGCCATTCTCCGCCGTGACCGAGGCCATCTTTCTCCCTCCCGCGCGCTGTGTCTCCGGCTCTCTACCATCCACTCCTCCTCTCTCTCTCTCTCTCTCTCTCTTTCTCCTCCTCTTCCTCTCCCTCTATCACGGCTGTACGCTTCTCTCTCGGTTTCCCCGTGTTTTCTCCTCAGGATTCTTTCACTTTCTCCATCGGTCTCTCTCCCCGTGTGTCAGCTGCCACTCTGACTCGTGACGTCAGCTCGCACCTTTTGAAGAGACCCGCGGCTCATTTGCATAACGAGTCGCGGCCGGCCAATCACAGGGCGGTGTGAGTGAAGGTGCTCGCGGGGGGGCGGAGCCACGAGCCAAACCTTTGTAAGGCGTTTAAAGGTTTGGATCTGAAAACACGGAGCGAATTTTTATAAAAGCAACATGTTTTTTGAAGATGCATTTAGCAGCTTTGACCATTTAATTGACGGGTGTGTAAATAACCACTAAAATAGCAACAATGTAATCATTCTACCTGAAATATGCATTAATTCTGGCCCTTTGGGACATTTTTTCCAAGTCATCTCAATGGCAAAAAGTGTCCCAATTCACCTGAATTCACCCCTAATACCCTACAATTAAAAAATACACATACATATTGTTTATCACTTACACATCAGAATAAAAAACAACAGAACTTCATGTTTTTCCTCCCAAATATAGCTTTTATTTTAAAATGTACAGTATAGAGTACATTGATGAAATTGCATTTATGCTTGGCTGAGCTTCTTAGCTGCATTATTTCAATTTTAAATCAATAAAAAAAGCATTCGTTTGGTTATAACCTTTTGTAGTCCAGCAAAGTACCATGATATGATGCTATTTTTCTATGCACAATAATTAGGCCTACAGTAGGCTATAAACCATGTTAGTCATTCAGTAATATAATCTGAGACCATAGGGTTATTATACAGTAGTTAACTAAAACTGAAACTAAAATTACCACAGAAAAGCATTTTTGTTACTTGAAACTGTAATAAAATATAGGCTAATACACTTTTTATTTCAGCTAGTTGCCAAGACAACTTTTCTCATTTTAATTTTGCTTAGCTTGATGTACTAAAATAACTAAAACTGAAATACAAATTAATAAAACTGAAATTAATAAAAACTACATAGACAAAATAAAAAAAATAAAAAACTACTAAAAATGACAACAACAAAAAAAACATACACGCACAACAAAATTACTAAAGCATTAACTAGAATTAAAATGAAACCCTAAAATAAAAACGTATTCAGAAATATATAATAGTATCTAAATTATACTAAAATAACTCTACCGTGGTATTGACGGCTTTAGTTATGCTTTAAATTTCTGTAAAAACCTTCTGCATCTTAAATGTATTTATATGCAAATATACAGAAATCATTTAGGGCTAAGGAAGATGGTGAAAGAAACTTCTTTCTGTTATTAAATTGAAAATTCTTATTTTTATTGTTTGTCTTTTAAAAATGAACCTGATCGTCTGTAAACGACTGCATTCAGACTTTATTAAACATGCAGCGGCTGCTGTCCGTGGTGCTGAACTCAATCACACACACACACACACACACACACACACACACACACAGTCTAGCATTAAATCAGAACTACTGAACATAAACAGCAACATGAGCACTTACTAGTGGCCCAACTATTGAAAACAAAAGTGTGAAAATAGATGATAATTACGAATTGATTTATATTTGAGAAAGGCTCGTGTGCTCATATTCTGACACTTGTCTGCTTGCAGTTCAACAGATGACTTTCTTGATTCTATCGCTTCTTAACGATTATTGCGTTTAATTTCCCTCCTCTTTCAGTGCTAGATCTCCTCAGGGAGTGCAAATCTCCATTCAGCGGCTGCTGGAGCTTTTCTCCCGTTCCTTCGCATGTCATTTCTAAACGGATCCTGCCACGTTTTATGAGCTGAGCTGGAGTGGCTCTCCTCGTCAACAGCATCAGAGGCTTTCATTTGCATAAAGGCATTGCTAATTTGGCCCCTGTGTAGTTTATTGGGCTTGTGATTTTGTGTGTTTCTCAGCTGGGAGCAGCACATCCCAAACGCAGGTACTGAATGCTGGATGTCATTACGCCGGCAGGCGAGGACGAGAGAAGCATATTTTCAAGGTTTCTTCAATCATACTGATGTAAAGCAGACACCTGTACGACAGAGACGTTCACACTGAGATACGACAGCTGGAGGCTAAACCCTGCTGACAGACGGACAGAGCCGTTATTAAAGCATGTTGATCATGTTCACACTGCAACCCGTCTGCAACCAGTGTCCTCATAGTAATTTTGTGAGTGAAGGAATCAGATGCATCTGTTCAGATGCTGATGTCAATATCTGATTTCTCTACATCAGTTGCCATAGTAATGAGCACGATGAGAGTAACTATCATTAGAAAAGACAGAAAACTACACGTCATGTCCTGAACGATGAACCTGAAATTGGTTTAGCAATGCATAAAATGTTTTGTTTCATATTGCATTTTTAAAATACAGTATTTAGATATACGGCGCAGTATGCAGCACACTATAGGACCTCATTATGAACACATTCACATTCAAATTATGCATTAAAATTAATATTTTTAGGGCTTATAAATAATGGTAGATTAAATATGTACACACACACATACACACACTCACGTTAATTCAGTTATCTAAAAGAATTTATAGATATCTATAGTATTTAAAATGTACTGTTTTCAAGAAAAAAGTATACTTTAGATCAGGGTTTACCATCCTGGGATTCATGAGGGAAATGCAGGGGGTTTGTGAACTGATAAACAGCTACTATCATAATGAAATCATAAATATGTAAAATTAAAATAAATAACTAATTGAAAATTAAAATAAATAAATAACACTTGCAATAACCTTCCTTATAGTTAACCTTAGTTAACGTATTAACTAACTAACGAGCAATACTTTTGTTACAGTTTTTATTAATCTTTGTTAATGTTAGCTAATAGAAATACACCTGTTCATTGTTGGTTCATGTTAGCTCAGGTTCATTAAATATTAACAATAAAATAAAACACTTAATGAAATATAAATATAATACTAAATATTTAGTTTTTTTAGCAGCATGTCATGAGACCATTGATCCGTAAACATGCAAAAGTTTTGTTTAATTATTGAAATATGAACTGTGTGTGTGTGTGTGCGTGCGTGTGTACATATGTGTAAACACACACACACACACACATACACACACACACACAACATTTTACAGCGAAAAACAGGTTTTACAGGTGTTTTGACCCTGTACAGCATCTATAATACAAATACTGGCTTTATTTTCTGGACAGCCAACTTACAATGAGCTTTAGATTCATCATGTGGTTTCTGTTTGACCACCTTCATTATTATGCTGCATTTACTAAACAGATGTGGGTAGTTCAAGTTGTTCGGTATTTTAATATTACATGACAATTATATACTGTTATTAGGTGTAAAACAATATGCCATCCTGTAATACCTGAAACATTGCCACTGTAATTTTTTATTGTGTATTTCTGGCAAGCACAGGGTGTTTTAGAGGTGTGCAGAAGGTTGTGATGTGATGGAGCTGGTTTACTCACCTGATCTGAGGTCAGCGCTGGCTGTCTGGATCTACAGCCTGTAATAATGATATCAAACACTGCGTTTCCTCTGATATCATTCAGAATCTCCTACTGTAATGTATGTATGTATGTTCACCTCCAGCTGTCATCGCGGACCAGACCGAATGACTTCATCCGCTGAGAGAGAGAGAGAGAGAGAGAGAGAGAGAACGAGTGTCACAATTCATCACAGCCCATCTTACATGCGTTCTCATAATAATTTCATGAGTGTGAGTTAATCAAGGAAATCAGGCTCGTCAGCATCAAACAACAGCAAATGGCAAACATCAACTAAACAAACCACACACACACACACATTTGGTCCTCACAGGTATAGTCAAAACAATTGACTATACAGGACTATTTATCTAAATGTGTGTGTGTGTGTGTGTGAGAGAGAGAGAGAGTGTGTGTGTGTTTTGTCATGATTTTTTATGTTATTTATAACATTGTGATTACATCATATGACATATTATTACATAATTTTATTATTCAGTTTTGTTTTTATTCATTATTTTGTTTTTATTCATTATTTTATTATTATTATTAATCTTTTTGTTGTTGTATTTGTTATTTATTTATTTTAATTTTTTTTACACATTTGGATTCAAAATACTGTATCACTGAAAACACTGAAAACATGAGCACAGAAAACAGTGACTGAATAACTAGAATATAAATACACAACAGCAAAACTCCACATGAGCTACAAAACGATGAAAATCCTGATATCTACATGTAGCTTCACAGTGGAGATTATACACTGTTTTCAGCTTTTACCAATGCCATTATAGGTCTTCTTCTGATGTAGAACAACTAAAACATGAAAACAGCAGCGCAACACAGTGCTGTTGAAGTGAACCGATCCTCACAAACACTGTGACCCACGTCACATTTAACACACACACACAC